TAAACCCTAAACTCTAAACCAAAGCCGGCTCCCCCATTTTCAGCCGGTCCCTGGAGCCGGAACTCAAACCAAGTCGTGCTCTTGCAGCTACATGCTATGAATCTCCTTATGACCACTCTTCTGATTATTCTTATGAAATGTCTTCTGAGTATTCTTATGAAATGTCTTCTGAGAATGATTACAACAGTCTTCTTATCATGATTACTATGATTCTTGCTATGACTCCTCTTTGCTGCTGCTCTTAGTTCTTCACTGTAGGATTCGAAGCTCTGCCGTTTGCTCGACACCTGATCTTCTCGAGAGGAAGATCTTTGAACTCACCCTGTTCAGGGGTTTTGGGTTTTAGGGTTTAGGGCCCCAAAGAAACCCAAACCCTGCAACAGCAAATGGAAAGCACCCCGCGCCTCAAGTCTGACATTCCTTCGACCCGTGCGTCCCTCAACCTTAAACCCCGAAACCGACCACTGCCTTCGCCCATGGCCCTACAACCTACACCCCTGCACCTGAACCATCAAATTCTGCACTCATCGCACCCTACACCTCAAAGCCATACCGCCTACATCAGCAGGACTTGGTATGTCACCGTCTTCAGCCGACAGTGCTCGCCGCTAACATAGGCATAAGCCTGCCGGGATGGTGGGTTTACGGGGTTCTCTAGAGGCTACTATAAGCATTCTATAAGGGCTACCATAAGGGCTATCATAAGGGTCCTAGACGGGTTTCTGCACGAGTTCCGCAAGGGTTGAGAGCTGGGCGCTGTGGCCTGCTACTCTTCAGAAAGGGGGCCTTCATGGCGGACTGCCCTGTCCTCAAACCCTAACCCTACATCCAACACCCTGAATCCGTTCACCTTAAACCCTAAACCCTAAATCCCAACCCTGAAACCCTAAACTCTCAACCTTAAACCCTAAACCCTGAGCAGTTAGGCTCATTCTTGAGACTCCCGGGTGACTTGAGGAAGCTTCGGGGCTGCAGGGCTTCGGGTTTCTTCGGCTTCCCGTGCTTCGGGGCTTCAGGAGCTCTAGAGCTTTAGGACCTCTTTTAGGGCTTCACTTCACTGGAACTTTCGGGAGGAGTCTCAGATTTTGCTGCGTCACGGACGGGTTTAGGGTTTAGGGTTTAGGATTTAGGGTTTAGGGTTTAGGGTTTAGGGTTTAGGGTTTAGGATCTCATGGTTCAGGGCATTGGTCGTTCGGATTTTGACAGGACCAAACCTGCAAAGGCAAGCTTTCAAGCTTGCATGCCCAAGTGCAAGAACCCCACACATCCCGCTGATGCCATAAGGGTTCTATTGGCGCTCTAATGGAATTCTGTCAGGATCTAGGTCAGGGTTTTAGGGGTTTCAGGATTTAGGGTTTAGTTTAGTGCATGAGAAACCCGGACAGTAGTGCGATACCCTAAACGCAAGGCACCGAAACTCAGCCCCCAAACCCGTAACCCCCCAAACCCTCATCCGCTCCCCGTCCCCCACATGGGTGCCTCAGGCAGATTCAACTGGCAACAGGCCTTCCGGCCGATGCTGAACCTCAGCTGGCTGATGTTAGGGACCTTGAGAAACTCCTGCATGGGGGTTGTAGACCTTCATTGGGGATGCAGAACCTGGGGTATCCTTGTCAGGTTCCGAAATTAATGGAGAATACAAAGTAACAAGACATCGGAAAGGAACCGGTGAGGGTGCAACACAGGGTTTTTTATCACCTCTTTTCCTTCGCAACACAGGGCTTGGGGCTTAGGATTTTGTGTGTTGTTTTAAGACATTGGTGCTGCGGTACTCTACATGCCGAATCCGCCACGCCCCTAGTAAAGACCTCAATAATTAGAAGAGGGCTCGGGGGACATAGTAACATCTGTGTTCGCACTGAATCCATAAACAGCCCGTGACCTCGAACCCCAACAAACTTCGAAGCCTTCACCCTCAGCAAGGCTAAATCTGGAACCCACCACAATCCCAATCTCAAAACTTAACCCTGAACCCCCCAACACGGCAAAAACAACTAGACCCAAAATCCCGAACCCGACTTGAAACAATCTGCTAAACCCCCTGAACCAACGGCACCCACAGCCCTCATGCCGGCCTGGACTGAACCCTGAGCCGTAAACCCTAAACCCAAGAAAGCCCAGAAGGGGGCCAGGGAGCTGCCCGAGACCTGCTTCCGGGAGCCTGACGTCATCTCTCGGCCGTTGGGGGCTTTCACGTGCAAGCCCCTAAACATCTGCCATTTTTTAAGATGTGTATACATCAACACAATCAGCAAGCCTGAAAAGCTAGGTCGCTTAGGGTTCAGGAAAGGTTTAGGGCTTGGGATCTCCAGTGTTTAGGGCTTTAAGGCCCCGGTGTTCAGAATTTAAGACGTTTACCTCCCCTCCTTTTGAGAGGCCTACAAGAAGGCTGCTGCTGCTGCTGCTGCTGCTGCTGCTGCTGCTGCTGAGGGTGTGCGGTTGGGGCAAGTTCAAACGTTGTCAAGACTGAATATAAACCCTCAGAAGCCCTACAAACCCCATGAAACCCGAAAGCACAAACCCCTATGACGGCCCTTTGAAACCCCTGCACAGGTGCTAAGAGCTTCATCAGCCCAACAGCCTGACACGAGTAAAATGAGTCTTGGCCGTGGAATTGCTAGGGGTTTAGGGGGATGTTTAGAGTGTGGGGTACGTGTGGGGAGTTCTCCCCTCAGTTTTGGCTCAGTCCCAGCCCCCCCGCTGTTTCAACATATGGCGTGTTCTTTAAAATCGGGTCCTTTTTTGACCCCCGAAAAAGGGACCCTAATTGACAGGGACCCTAATACCCACATGGTTAGCAACGACTTCCCGGCTCGCAAGTCACAGCGAAAACAAAAGGCAATGTATGAGCCTGCTGAATCATCGACACAAGTGTTCCCTTCATGCATAATGGGGATACCGGCCGGCATACACAAATCCTGTTCGAGTCACAAAGTCCCCAGTACGAAACCCCTATTCTAGCCCTAAGACCCCTTCTAGTGACTGTTCTACAACTTTTCGAGCGCCCGTGAAAAGATCTTGTTCTGCTCAATGCTGCCCCTAAACCCTAAACTCTAAACCCTAAACCCTACACCCTACACCCGAAACCCTAAACTCTAAACACTAAGCCCTAAACCCTAAACTCTAAACCCTAAACCCGAAACCGCTAAACCCTAAACCCTAACCCCTAAAACCTTAAACCCTAAACCCTAAACACTCTTTATCATATGTCTT